CAAAATATATGAACTTCATATATTTCATTGTATCTCATTTATCACTTTCACGGGTTTATTACGAATCAACTTAACGGCCTGCTCCCAGTTGGCTTGTTAGCTCAATTGGTAGAGCGCTGCACTAGTATCGCAGAGGTCAGTGGTTGGAATCCCGTACAGGCCTGATTTTTTTCAGGTCTGATTTTCGCTATTTGCTTAAATAGCGCTATCTACTGCGAAGATCCGTGCATCATACGTATCTAATACCGCAGTTCAAAATATATGAACTTCATATATTTCATTGTAACCAAAAGAGAAGTATGTTAGGTTTGGTGACCTATATACAACTACCGAAAACGTAGATAACATTTAATTTGAAAATTCTCACGCAAAGTTCATCCTTCGCGTGACCATTTTGGGTACGTGACCTAACCCTGAACCCAAATTGGGTAACCAATAAATTTGACCACCTTGGTTAAGCCTTTTTCAGCTTTTTTCTCACTCCTTTAAACTCCTTTAAACTCTCACTCCTTTAAACTCTTATTAAAAATCTTTGGTGCCACACTGGAAAAGTGCACTGGAAGCATGACTGAGAATTTCCTCGGGAAAAGCAATTTGAGATGGGCCGCAAGTGGCCAAATGTAACCGCTGTCAAAACACAGTTGCATATAGTTTTAGAAAAGCAAACTCAAACATAACCGAACGTGCAAATGACTAGCACCTTACGGCACTGTTAAAGCAAGTAAATACCCGTTTTAGTGTAAAAAAAATATGTGGCTTTGGTCGACGCCGTGCAACTTGCACAGTGTAGATAGCCATGAGATTACATCAAACTTATCAATGATATTTGTGTAAATGTCGCGGTAAATAATTTTCTCTCGATACAACAGCATGCGTACTCCTTAACAAGAAGTAGCTCGACTCTATTGTGACCGTTTACACTTAACATCTAGTTACAGCTGACAATAAAAAATCTTCGAACTCCAAAGACGGAGCATCAAATTACTGCGAAATCACAATATATTTGAGTTCTACACATGCACTCATGTAACGCATATGCAGTGTACCTTAAATGCGTGTGACGGTTCAATAATTATTTCAGCTCGCTGCGTACCTATCGATCGTGATGCTGTTTTAACGCGACCATAGTTCCACTTCCCGGGAGGGTTAAGTCAACTAACATGTAATAATCACAGTGTAATAACCTAAACGAGGGGACACTTCTTCGGGTCTCAAACACATCTACTGAGAACTAAATCTCACCCCAATAATAAAAGGACCATTGAGAACAGTTACGGGGTAAATTTTAGAATCACGCGATTGTATTCTTTTCGTCCATTGCTTGCTTTTTTTAGTTACATTAAGTTATCCATTTACTCCATTGGCTGTATGTCTTTTTAAATCTTATCTCTTACGTATATTTTGTGTTTTTTTTGTTGTTGTTGTTGAATTACCCTCTTGTCCTAATTAACTTAAAATAACCAAAACAGAAACTCCTAAACCCCGTAAAATGCAAATTACTGATTAAAATTTACTTATCTAAATAAAATATTATCGATTAGGCGATCTGTTCAGCCATTACAGCCCTAGGTATTAAAAACAAGCAAACGAAGTAACCGATCAGAATTAAGATGTGTTACTGACGGTTCTGGCATGTGCACTGGGAAACAGCTTCACCAAGCAAGGCAAGGTATGGTGCTTTTCGTCGAATGGCAGGTACAGGAACATTCAGCTCCAAGTTCTGGCAAATACTCTGCAGCACGCCAAGCTGTAATGCTTTCGGGGTCGAACTTAAAATTGTTGAGCTTGCTGATACCGGGAATCTTCCTTGTATCACCAATGACGAAATCCTCCATGCTGTTAATTGCAACTACTCTCACCCCTTCGATGCCTCTGTGGGAAAGAAGAGCTTCTTGGAACTGACTTCCTGTACACACGTCGTT